TCAAATTCTCATTGCTAATGAGAGTGTGGAGAGTTTTAAGAAGGATAAAAAGAAGGGAGTGGTTTGTAAGCTGGATATGGAGAAGGCTTATGACATGATGGATTGGGAATTTTTGAGGAAAGTTATGACCAAATTGGGGTTTGGGGCTAGATGGTGCAAATGGATCATGGGTTGTGTTCGGAATTGTCATTATTCAATGCTAGTGAATGGTATAGTGGTAGATTTCTTCCCAACCATTAGGGGTATAAGATAGGGAGACCCCTTATCTCTTTTTGTTCTTACTAGTTGCTGATGTTTTGGGGAAATTGATCCATAGAGCAGAATCTAGGGGCCTCATTAGAGGTTGAAGGGTTGGAAGGGAGGACATCCCACTCACTCACTTACAGTTTGCTGATGATATGATCCTGTTTTGTGAAGGAGGTAATGTGAGTTTCATCTGGAACTTGAAACTAGTGATTCAACTCTTTGAGCAAATGTCAAACTTGAAGGTGAAATTTGGGAAAAGTTGTGTAGTGGGTGTGAATTTGGAGGGAGAGATCAGGGAGAGTGCAGAAGTGCTTGGGTGTGAAGTTTCAGGGTTTCCTTTGAGTTATCTAAGTTTTCCCTTAGGTGATAATCCTAGGAGAGAGAGCTTTTGGAACCCGGTGGTGGAAAGATTTGAAAAATGACTTGTCTCTTGGAAAAAGAATTACCTCTCTCTTGGTGGAAGGACTACACTGATCAAGGCCACGTTAGCAAACTTACCAATTTATTTCCTTTTAGTGTTCAAAATTCCAGTGAAGGTTTCTAGTAGGTTGGAGAGGTTGATGAGAGATTTCCTTTGGGAGCCGGGGGAGGAGAAGAGGGACCATAGAGTTAGATGGAAGGTGGTGACAAGGAGTAAAATTTATGGTGGTTTGGGGCTTGGGAACATCGGGAAAAGGAATTTGGCGCTTTTGGGGAAGTGGTTGCGGAGGTTTCCTCTGGAGCAGGAGAAGCTATGGGCTAGAATAGTGGCAAGCATACATGGGATGGAGCAAAATGGATGGGATGCTGGAATCAAAACAAGGACCACAAGCACTTTACCTTGGAAAGCCATTCATGATCTGCTTCCAGTTTTCTCCCCTCTTGTCAAGTATGATTTGAATTTAGGTAATTCCATAAAATTCTAGGAACAAACTTGGGTGGGGAACGTTCCTCGTAAGGACCAATTTCCTTCTTTGTATGCTCTTTAGGATTTTAAAAATGACCCAATTTCTTCTTTCATCACCCCTTCCTCTTCCAGTTCTGGGTTTGGGTCGAACTTGGGTCTGAAGAGGGTTGTGAGGGACTCAGACCTCGATAGTATTTTGAGCCTCCTTGAACTTCTTGATAAGGTTTTCTTAGACCCCTCTAAGGTGGACTCTGGAATTTGGACCCCTACCCCCATGGGCTTTTTTCCTTGTGCTTCCTTCTTCAAAGTCCTATGCCAATCCACCAGTCCTGCAACCTCCCTTTTCTCAGTTAATGAGGTTTGGTGTAGACCAATTCCTCCTAGGGTTTGTAGTTTTTGTTGGGAAGCCTATTTGGAAAGATTCAACACTGGTGATTTGCTCCAAAAGAAGAGACCCAATACTTGCTTGTCACCTCATTGGTGTGTTGTTTGCAAAGCGGATGGAGAGACTGGTTTTCAATTACTAGTGTCTTGCCAATTTGCAAAGTCAATTTGGGAGTGGGCTTTTTCTCTCTTTGGGCGTAGGTGGAACCCTCCATCAGACTTGCAGAGTCTCTTTTCCCCTTCTTTTTTTAAGTGGCACATGAAAAGGGGAAGGACTGTGGAGAGGACTGAGGGCTGCAGTATGCTGGTCATTATGGGAAGAAAGAAATTTTAGGATCTTCTCAAAAGATGAGGGGCTGAAGAATTGAGGGCTGTGATCCATATAAGGGTTGTGCAGTGGCTGAAATCTTTAGAGCTATTCATAGACTACACAGTGGATGACATGTTGAGGAAGTGGGGCGAGATTGCAAACTGCACACAGACCAAACCAGTAATAAGAGTGTCTTGGACCCCCCACCTGCTGGTTTCTTAAAATTAAACTTTGATTGGAGTTGTAGGGGGAATCCTGGACAATCAGGGATTGGGGGTGCTTTTAGGAATGAGAACGGGATCATTTCTTCCCTGTTCTCAGGCCTAATTGGAGTGGGGGACTCCCTTAGAACTGAGATATTAGTAGTTATGGAAGGAGTCCAGAAAGCTAAGGAGATGAATGTCGGAAAACTCATAATTGAAGGGGACTCGGAGGTGGTGATAGGGTGGCTGATTAAAGACATATGTGGCCTATGGAACTGCAGCAATGAGAGGAGGAAATTCAAGTGGCTGGTGCGGGAGATGGAAGTCAGGATGAGTTGGGTTAAAAGATCAGCTAATTCTATAGTTGATGGATTAGCTAAACAAGGGATAGAAAGGGAAGCAATGTTTTGGGCCAAGTTGTAACTTAACTGTTTCTTCTTTTCCTTTCCTTTTCTTTTTTGAGGGTTTAAGTTGTATTTGTAAGATAAGAGTGTTTGTCTTCCTTACTATAATTATTCTTATGTTGATTCAATGAATTTAATGAATCTATTATTGATAAAAAAAAAGCAGTGTTTAATTTAAGAACATGAAGGAGAGGGAATGAGGATAAGGTGAGGGTGTCTTGCCTCGACCAGGTAATAGCTACTTAGTAGAAAATAAATGGGACACACTAGTCATATGGTCAAAGGCACTAGAATCAATTATCCAAGGGATCCTATGATTACTTGAGATAGAAGCATGATTCACAGTAGCACAAATACTTGAATGGGCATATGCGGATGAAGAGGGAACTGTCTCTGATTAAGTAGGTGTTGTAGTAGTAGACTCCAGGTGACTAATTATTCGACCATACTTCTCATACTCAACCCTGGCGGCTGCTAGTTGCTCTCCCACTGACTTCTCACCACTGTGCCCCTGTACATTGTGAGGAGGTGGCTACATTTGTATTTCCACCTTTCCCATTCTCATTTCTTTTTCCACTGTTTGCACTCTTAAGTTTGGTAGGTATAAGATCTAGGTGCAGCTTCCAACAGGTGTCTATAGCATATTTAGGCTTCTTGCAGTATTCACAAACATCATCTTTCATTCCAATGCTGACCTTCAGCTTCATCCCGATATTAGCATAGTGATCTGTCTGTGGCTTTATAGGCTTGAACCTCTCTCCTGCTCTTCTCACTACTCACCGTAGCATAAGCCTGAGATAAAGTCACCTCATTCTTTCGCCAAAACATACTCCAGGTTGAATTCGATAAGGAACTCAAAAACCCGATTTTTTCCACTAGCTTCCTATGTGTTTCAGCATCCTTTGTACACCCCCAAACCATAGTCTCCATCAAATCAATCTCCTGCCAAAGAGATTTTAGCATGGAGAAGTGAACGGCTAAGGGCTTCTTTCACTCTCTTAGATTAGCTGCATCATTCTTCATTTAGTAAACCCAGACAACATTCAATTTTTGGGAATAGGTCTCCGTGACACTATCCCACACCTCCTTTGCAGTTTCCATCCACAACTAGTGCTAGTTAATATGTAGCTGCATAGAATTCACCAACCAACCCACTATTATGTAATTCTCCCGCATCCCCCTCTCATAGGTAGGGTCATCCTCCCTTGGTATCTTCTTACTCCTGGTGATGTAACCCCATCCAACTTCACAGTGGTCACTACCCCAAAAAGATTTTCCATTGACCCCCCATGTCCAAACCTGGAATCTGTGGGATATTTGGTTTCTCCTCCAATTTTCTCCATTGTGTGAAATGAAGACCAAAATAAGTCTCAACTAAGCTAGAATTGCTATCCCAAGCAAAAAACTACTCTCCAAACAGCGAAATCTAGAGTTTCATAGAACTTGCCTGAATGAGAGAAGAGGAAAAAGTTCAACTTCTCCTACCAGAGGTTCCAGAACCTTGACACACTCAAATAACCCATTCTCCCTTGATGAAAATAAAAATGCTATCCTCCAATACTCAAGTGCTTGCTTCAAAGTGTCTCTAGGACTTGTAACTAGTTTGCTCTAGTTGTCTAGGGTTTTCGGGAAAATACTCCCAAGAACTTGCCTTGGGCTTCAACTGGGGATGAAAAACTTCACAAAACCTCTCCAAAAACTCTCCCAACTAGGCTACATAAGCTGCTCCCTAATCAGCCGATCAATTCTCCATACACACTATGTATGGGCAAAGAGAGAAGAAAGAAAAGAAGGTGAAGACCTGTTCCGATACCAAATTGTAAATCACACCTGCACTATTCTGAATTAAAAGAAAAGAAACAGGAGAAAAGGAGATTGGAGAGAGAGAAGTGGAGGAAGAAGATGGAAAAAAAGGAAGAGAGAGTAGTTCAAAACCTTTCTTCTGTCCCCAATGATCTCTTTTATTCTTTTGTTGTAAAAAATAAGGACAATTACATGAGTGCCCTTAGTAGGGCGTCCATCACTAAAGACAACAATAAAAAAGAGAAAACAGGCCCATAACTAAGGCCCATTTGGCTCTTTACCTCTACAACATCATTAGTGAAAAAAACATGGAAACCCCTATTTGTAACGATAAGTCAACACGTAGGGATATGTTTATTTCAAAGCACATTTTGCTTAACGATTAGGAGAGTGCTTCCTTCATCAAAACAGATGTGTTCATACGAGTTATCCATCCAAAATCTAAGTAGAATTTGTTTTCTGGTTGTTTTAAAATTGTTAAGTCTAATAATACTCAAGTCAACTCAACTCAGCCTTATTTGGGGTTGGCTACATGAATCCTATCCTGCCATTCCTGAAAATTGTTAAATTTGATAAAATGTTACAATCTCTGAAGTTTGTGCATTTGGCCTTTCTTCCCTTTTATCCACCTGGATTTCCTAAAATAATTTTGTACTGAAATGATCTTCCGGGATTGCCTGTCAGCTTTAGTATGCTGAAAGTGTTTTCTGCTGGATGTGTCGGTTTTTACATATTTGTCTAAAGAATTTCTTGGATCTTTGAAGGAAACTTCAAATAAAGATTTATCAACATTAGCCAAGGTGGCATTTGAATTATTAAAATGGAGAATTTTTCTGGAGCCCCATCTTCAAAAGGCTGTATCAGTGATTCTTTCAATGGCCAATGATTCCAACTGGCGAACTAGATCTGCAACTCTGACATATTTGCGAACATTTATGTATAGGTATGTTGTGTTTAGGATTTTTCATACAAGGTCTTTCCATTATTAYAAAGATCTGGATTTCAATATCTGTCTTTCTTGGTTTTCTTTATCCTTTATCATTTTGAGTCTGCAACCCTTGAGAATAAATTTAGGCTAGGTTGTATATTTACATAAATGATTACATAAAAAATCTTTACTTATTGCATAACTGTGGTCGGTGTACTATTAATGATGTATGACTTATAGAATGAAAAAAGGCCATTACCCAATGTTGGTACCAGCTATCTGGCCATCTGGGGTCTTGGGAGGGGTGGACTGGATACTAGCATTTTTTTATGCACATAGTGGCTGCTCTCAGTCTCAAACCCGTGTTCTCACATTGTCAGCCTGAGACTTATACAACATAGATTTGTTACTTATTTCTTCCTTACTGTGCATGAGGGTGGGCCTTGGTGCAACAGTTGGATTGCTCCATTGCAACCTGGGTGACCAGGGTCCAAATCTTGGAAACAGCCTCTCTGTATGTGCAGGGGTAAGGCTGCGTACATCTGTTCCTCCCCAGACCCCACATTGGCAGGTGCCTCGTGCACTAGGCTGCCCTTTTTTCTTTACTGTGCATCATCATGTTATGCTTTTCCATGCTTTGGCTTACAGCTTCACTAGGTCAATTGTTGCAGTGTTGCTTTTATTCTCTCATGTAGGATTAGAAATTATTTGCCTCTATTTAAAGCAATCTAAGATTGTAAGGTCTGTGTTCTATCTCAGGCATACTTTCCTTTTGTCAAATGTGGAGAAACACCTAATTTGGAAAACAGTTGAAAAGCTACTTATAGACAACCAAGTTGAGGTGAGTTCCTGGACTAAAGAATCATTCCAGTAATAGTTAGGTAAACTGTGATGTTCTGTTGTGTCATGGTTCAAAGGTTTAGCTAATTATTGCTACTATTATTTAATGAACTCGATTTTGGTCTCTATTATATAGATAGAAGGTATACTTTTATGAAATATTATATAGGTATGAACCAATCATTATCATTCAGCTTGTATAACTGTTACATGCTAACATTAGTTTTGCATTTAATCATTATTTGAAATGTTATATAAGGAGATTATTTAATAATTTGGAAGTAGAGCCATTGCTTGGGCACTTAGGAGTTGAAGCGCAGTATGATTTTCCTGAGTTCTGGTCTCACATGTACAAATCAAACTTTTCTGGCATTTATAATGGTGGTTGGAGTATAAGGACTTTTCTGTCATTCCTGAATATGCCATTATATACATTTCTTTTATGCAGTAAAATTTAATTTCAGTTTTCTTCTTTAGCTATTACAGTGTGCTGTTATGCAAGGCCATGGGCTTTAGAGACAACGTAATTGTCAGATGATACTAGAGTTGTAATTATATTCTGCACATGGTTTCTCGTAACTCTCTCATTGCTGGCTCAGGTAAGGGAGCATGCAGCAGCAGTTCTGGCAGGTCTAATGAAAGGTGGAGATGAAGATCTAGCCAGGGAATTCCGTGATAGAGCATTCACAGAGGCATTAACTATCCAAATGAAGCGAAGGCAGAGGTTGGTTTCCCTGTTTCTATGGTGTTCTTGTCTCTACACGCCCATACATGCCTTTCTGCAAACTTTCGTACAAAGAAAACATGTATGTGATGATGAACAAAGCATACATAGATAGGCCATTTTTGTCCAGGCAATATAAATTGGTTCTCCTTGTAACAGTGTCTACTGTTTACATTTATTCGATGTAATCTCATATCTGTATCAATAGTGACTTATGCTCATGCTTATATTTGTGTACCACATTTATAGTATCTACACGACTGCACCATTTGTATACATTTGCATATAGCATTGCCTGTGTGAGATTGGTGCATATGACATGCATCTGTAGTCCATACAGACCTCTTGTGAAAAGAATCCACTTAGTTAATACATGTCTTGCTATATCTGTTAATGCTAAACCATTGAAACTTTCCTTTTCTTTCCAGAAAGTTAAGCTCTGGCGAGTCTATAGCTTCTATACATGGTGCAGTCCTTGCATTAGCAGCTTCTGTATTATCAGTTCCCTATGACATGCCCAGGTATGTGATGAGAAATACGTACTGCATGATGTACATCTTGTTATGGACATAAAATCTAATAATAATTTTTCAAACAACTTTTTTTATCAGGAAACTATAGTTTTCACATAAAATATTTGTAATCTTAAGTAGTGCAGTTTAAATCAACAAATTTTATGTGTGACCAAGGTTCTAAATATCGATACAGGCCGATATGCCAGATGGAGTGTGTTGTCCAGTATCTTTGGCCGCTTTTAGATTTTTTTTAGGTTTTTTTCCGAACTGGTTCAGGGGAGTCGGTATAAGGCCTGTCTACCCCCCTGAAACAGGTCATACCCTGAAATTGTTACTGTAGGGGTGTATCGGAGGGTCACCGAAATGATACATATCAGCCAATACGTGCTGATATGTTGCGAAATTTTAATCCTTGTGTGTCACATCCGTGCTCAAGGTTGATTTGAGGTTTCAAGAAAACTGTGTTACGAGTCATGAAGTTCAGACTATTCATATTGACATGTTCATATTGGATAAAGCTCTTATTTGTAGAAGCATCAATTCTCATCATCTGAACCCATTCTGCACATGCTGCTTGCTCATCAATAGTCAATACTGACTGTTAAATTTTTTTAATCATTAACATTAAATTTTATTGAGATAAGGAAAGATGACATACATGGCAGTCCTTTTTTTTGGTAAGAAGAAACTTTCATTACTAACAAGAGAAAAGAAATAACAAGCATACACTGAACCATTCTGCACATGCTGCTTGCTCATCAATACTGACAAATTTTTTGAATCATTAACATTAAATTTTATTGAGAAAAGGAAGGATAACATACATGGCAGTCCTTTCTTTTGGTAAGAAGAAACTTTCATTACTAACAAGAGAAAAGAAATAACAACCATACACTGAACCACACAAGCCTCCAACCAAACAAACTACAACACCAACCATGAAAACTAGACCAAAAGAAACAAACTAAAACAGAAAAATAAAAACCCAATGTCCTTAATAGTAAAGTATATGTCAGAGTCACAATTTAAAGAAGCATAGTTTGGGAGTGCGGTTGATTCTTTGGTCAGCCATATCATTGCAGGTTGATTCTCTATTAGTTAAGGGAGAGTCTAGAATCACAATTGAGGGGCTACAAAGAGAAGTTCAGGTCCTTGGATGCTAGCTCACTTTCTGCAAGAAATTTATGACATCCTGGATTCAGTCCAATGCAACTTCAGATGGATCCCTAGGGGAGTTTAAATCTTCCAGAAGATGCTTTATCCGCTACCTTGAGTCAAGGTTCTATATATCGATACAGGCCAATACGCCGGATGGGGCATATTTTCCTGTATCTTTGGCTACTTTTAGATTTTTTACATCTTTTCCAAATTGGTTTGGGATAGTCGGTATAAGGCCTGTCTACCCCCTGAAATAGGTCAAACCCTGAACGTGTTGCGAAATTTTAATCCTTACCTTGAGTGGGCTCTTTTTTTTTTTTTTGAAGACCCTGTTTGTACATCCTTCCCTTTTGTTTTTGAATGGAAGTTACCTTATTTAAAGAAAAATAAAGAAGCATACTTTGTAAGGATCTGGCTGAAGCTTGTGGTGCTTTGCAGATTCCCTAGGTGCTAGGGAGTGAAGTTGAAAATTACACCTATAGTAATTCAGATAATGCAAGAAAAGAAGAAAAGAGAGAGAGAAAGAAGAAGAAAGAAGTCTCAACAATAGGTTGTGGAAGAAGAAAAGAAGAATTTGAACCTCTCTCTCTAGCCCCTTTCATCACTTTTATTAATAATTCTAAGTCTGAGTACAATTACATGGATGTCCTTAATGGGGCGGCCAACACTAAAGAAATAATTAAAGAAAATAAAAGAAGGCCCATAACTAAGAAACATAACTTTTAAATACTACTTAAAAGAAATAAAGAACACTAAGGCCCATACGGCCCATTCTCACTACACTCCCCCTCAAGCTAAGCATAGATGTCAATCATGCCCAGCTTGCTTACAGAATGTTGAAGGTTTGCCTTTGGGACTCCCTTAGTCAGAAAATTTGCTAGCTGCTCTTCTGATGCAATGAAAGGTAGGCACACCTCTCCTAAAGCCACTCTCTCTCGTATAAAGTGTTTGTTTACCTCAATGTGCTTAGTTCTATCATGCTAAACTGGGTTGTGAGCAATGTTAGCGGATTGGTTATCACAATACAACATCAGTGGCTTGTCACATGAAACACCCATCTCATTAAGGAGAGATCTAAGCCAATAACAACTTAGAAACACCATGGGCCATAGCTCTATACTCTGCCTCAGCTAAAGATCTAGCAACCACTAATTGCGTTCTTCTTCTCCTGGAAACAATATTTCCAGCTACCATAGCACAATATCCTAATGTGGATCTCCTGTCATCCACATTTCCTACCCAATCAGCATCTGTATATGCTTCTACCTTCATGTGTCCATGTTTAGCAAATAATATACCCTTCCCGGGGGTTCCCTTAAGGTAGCATAACACCCTTTCTGCAACAGCCATATGTGTGTCTCTGGGAGCATGCATAAATTGGCTGATGACATTCACAGCATATGAAATGTCTGGACGAGTCATACATAGATAAAAAAGTTTCCCAGTAATCTCTGAAACACTCCCCTGTCAGCTAAAAGTTCTCCATCATTAGCCTAGAGTTTATGTTTCACATCAATAGGGGTAGAGGCAAGTTTAGCACCAATCTTTCTAGTCTCAGTAAGAAGGTCTAGCACATACTTCCGTTGAGAAATAAAGATACCTTCCTTGGACCTAGAAACCTCAATGCCCAAAAAATACCACAACTCCCTTAAATCTTTAATTTCAAATTCAGATTTGAGAAAATTCTTGAGAGCACTAACTTCTTTTGTATCACTGCCAATAACCACAATATCATCTACGTAAACTATAAGAAATGTCACCAGAGTGCCTTTTCTCTTAACAAAGAGGGTATGATCTGATGGAGTCTGAGTGTAGCTGAACTAAACAAGAGCAGCCCTAAATCTGTCAAACCAAATACGTGGAGATTGTTTCAGGAAATAAAAGTGATTTTTTCAATCTACACACCTTACCCTGCATTTCCTTGCCATATATACCAGGAGGAAGAGACACATATACCTCTTTAGTGGGATCACCATTCAGGAATGCATTCTTAACATCAAATTGATACAGAGGCCAATCATAGCTCACGGCTAAGGATAAAAGAATTCTCATCGAAGTCATCTTAGCAACTGGAGAAAAGGTCTTAGTGTAATCTATCCAATATATTTGGGTATATCCCTTGGCAACAAGTTGAGCCTTATACCTCTCAATTGACCTATCTACACGATACTTGATAGTGAAAACCCACTTGTACCCAACAGGTTGCTTCCCACCTGGCAAGTCAACAATATCCTAGGTATTGTTTTTATGAAGGGCTTCTTTTCGGTACTTATAGCATCCTTCCAATCTGGTGTGGCTAAGGCTTCTAAAACAGACTTTGGGATGGATTGAGAGGAAATGGAGACTAGAAAGGCATAGTAGGATGGGGACAACAAGTTATAGGAAAGGTGTTTGGAAATACAATGAGTTGTACATTTCCTCTTAACTTTTCTCAAAGCAATGGGTAGGTCAAGGTCTAGAAACGAGGGTGTTGGTGGAGGAGGTGATGGACATATCCTCTCTTCAGTAACCGGGAGCGCCTGAGATTCAACTGGAGGTGTGGGATCAACCTTTGTTTGCCTTAGCCTTTGTCACTGGTACCACTTCTGGAGAATAGAATGAGTGGAAACAACTGGAGGACAAGCAGGAAGAGGGGGAGGAGCAGGAGTGGAAGACCCCRAAGGAGAGGATCCCTCCACGGGAATGGAGGTAACTGTGGGAGGCTCAACACAAGACTCAATTGGAGTTGACAAAAGAAAGGATGAAGAAAACAACTCGAGAGATCTCTCCCCCTTAGAAGGATGGCTATAAAAAGGAACCGACTCTGCAAAGGTGACATCCATGGAAACAAACCGGGTGCCACTAATAGGATCAAAACAACAGTACTCTTTTTGTGTGGAGGCCTAACCAAGGAAGATACACTTCTGAGCCTTGGGGTCAAACTTGTGTCTTTTAAAACTAGGAATGTGGACATAACAAGTGCAACCAAAGACCCTCAGGGGGATAGAAAATCTCAAAATTAGGAAAGAGAACTCCAAAAGGAGATTTTAACCCCAAGACTCGAGAAGGCATGCGGTTAATTAGGTAGGTAGCTGTTAAAACTGCATCACCCCAAAACTTCATAGGAACATGGGTAGCAAAAAGAATGCTCCTTGCAACTTCCATAATGCGTCTGTTTTTCCTCTCCACTACTCCATTTTGTTGTGGAGTGCGAGCACAAGAATTCTGATGAATAACCCCAAACTTCTCAAGATAGGAGGTAAGGTCCTTCTCAAAATATTCCTTAGCATTGTCTGACCGGAATATTTTGATGCAGGTATTAAACTAAGTGAGTATGTGTTCATGGAATAGTTGCACAAGTTTAGGCACTTCAGCCCGGGAGCACATAAGGTAAATCCAAGTATATCGTGAAAAATCATCAATAAATAGGATGAAATATTTATACTCACCCATACATGGTAAATGGTAAGGCCCCCACACATCAGAGTGAACAATATTAAAAGGAATAGTTGATCTTTTATTACTTGTAGGATAAGTCTCTTACAATGCTTTGAGAACTCACAAGACTCACAATGAAGACTAGATAGACTAATTCCTTTAAATAACTCTGGAAACAACTGACTCAATGAATAAAAGGACAAATGACCCAAACGACTATGACATAACATAATATGACTAGTGGTCTCTGATACCATCTCAAAAAACCATTCAACCTAAAAGCTTAAGCTGTTAGGTGAGGTCCTTGAATAGGTTGATATTCTCTAGCACACCCCCTCACACGAAAGCCCATTGGGCTTGAAGTGTGAACAAGCACAGGCTCACCCATACCTTGTGCTGATACCTAATTAATTACAATGGGGGTAATAAGGATCGAACACTAAACCACTTGGTCAAAATGGCTCTGATACCAAGTTGAAAATTACACCTACAGTAATTAAAATAATGCAAGAAAAGAGAGAAAAAGAAAGAAGAAAGAAGTTTTAGCAATAGGTTGTGGAAGAAGAAAAGAAGGGAAGAGAGAAAAGAAGAATTCAGACCTCTCTCTAGCCCCCTTTCATCACTTTTATTAATAAATTCTAAGTTTGAGTACAATTACTTAGATACCCTTAATGGGGCGGCCAGCACTAAAGAAATAATTAAAGAAAATAAAAGAAGGCCCATAACTAAGAAACATAACTTTTAAATACTACTTAAAAGAAATAAAGAACACTAAGGCCCATTCGGCCCATTCTCACTACAAGTGACTTTAATACTACCAGATTCTCTGAAAAGAAACATGAGGGAGGTCGAATTACTAGAGTTATGCAGCAATTTGGGGAATTCATTCAAGCTTTTGAGATGATTGACCTTCCTTTCTTTGGGGCACATTACACATGGACAAATAGGAAAAACCAACTGTTGTCAAGATGGACAGATTTCAGTAGAAAACCACTTCATTCAGAAAATAAGGGAAAACTACAAAGAAAGCAAAGGAGAAAGAAAAAGGAAGTAAGAAGAGAAGAGAGAAGGGTGAGAGAAGAAGGGATGGAACATGGAAGAAGAAGGGAGTGCCAAAAGTATGTGGTCACTCCATCATTCCATCATTTATACTTAAAGATCAAAAGGTGTACAATGACCAATATGCCCCTAGTATGGCAGCAGCTGCTAGAAACAATAATAAAGCATAATAAAACATTATGAGTCAAGGCTTAATAACAATAGAAGACAAAAAATTGCACAAAACTGTCAACATGTTAGGACCCCCCACTCTCCTAACCTGGTAAAGCCAGCCAGTTAACCAATAACGGCTGGGCCTAATGCTGAACCCAGGATGAGGCCTCCCATTGAAAAGGTTTACCCGCAAGCCTTGACAGCCTAACGGTCCTCCAAATTAGTTATGTGTGCCTCCTGTCTTCCAGCAGAGCTAGCCTTGTTGCATTGGCCTTTATATTTATGAGATACTTAATTTGAAATTTTTTTTATTTAAAATGGCAAGAGGGAAGAAAGGACTTCCTAATGAGTTGAAACTTTTGAGGTGGCAGAAACTAGAATTCTTTTCCTTGTCTGTGTTGTGTAAAAGTCTTGTTTTTTCAAAATCCCCGCAGTGAGGCATTCTGGAACTTCTCTTTTCTTTCAGTGTTTTAAAAGCTGAATGGACATCAAACCAAACCACTTCAAATTCAAATTTATGGCTCAGCTGCTTCATCCTCTAGTTTGAACCATTTAAATGCATGCAAAAAAGAGAAAAATTAAAAACAAGAAGTAACCAATGCTGATAAAAGAAACCAATCACAAGAAGTAACCAATGTGTAAAAGTCTTGAATGTTTGGGCAATTCGTAGTTAATTGAGACGTACTCCAATACAAGGTGGATTTGTAGGGTTGATGTATATTGCTGGAATGAATTCACAGCCAATCCAGAGGTCTTCTGTTTAATAGACAATTGGGATTCACCATAGCATTCAACCATGTGGCAGAAATAAATATTGCTATTTTTATGTCTTGCAAGCTTCCTTGATTGATTCATTAGAAAACCTTTTTCCAGCTGATTTTATTAGAAGTAGTTCATAGCAAGGTTCCAAATATTGATACAGGCCAATATGCCGGATGGGGTGTATTGGCCTGCATCTTTGGCTGCTTTTAGTTTTTTTTTCCAAACTGGTTCAGGAGGGGTCGGTATAAGGCCTGTCTACCCTGAAACAGGTCGAACCCCAAAATGGTTGCTGTTGGGGCGTATCGGAGAGTCACTAATACGATATGTAAGCGGCCAATATGCTCCGATACATTGCGAAATTTTAATCCTTGGTTCATATGGTTAAATAGTAATTGATTCTAGATAAAATTGGAGTACTTGATATATTGAAGGGCAGTATGTTTGCATGATATTGTATTATTTTCACATATGGTTTTTACATTTTATTGCAGTTGGCTGCCTGACCATGTAACCTTATTGGCTCGTTTCATTGGGGAACCATCACCCGTGAGATCTACTGTTACCAAGGCAGTTGCAGAGTTCAGGCGTACTCATGCAGATACATGGAATGTTCAGAAAGATTCTTTCGATGAAGAGCAACTTGAGGTTTGTTTGTACAACATTTTCTCTAGTAGGGCTGAAACTTTCATATTATTAAATGCTTGACGGTTGTGATACAGTAACCTTGCTGGAGGATGATAATTTTGTCTGTTAATAAAACTAAGAAAGGGGTCAACCATTTTTCTTTCCTCATTCCATTCTTTTATCCTTTCAACAAACTTTTCTTTCCCCTTCGTTTTCATTTTCTGCTTTTTCACTGAAATTCAAACCCCAGGAACTTGGGGATAGCCCTATGTGAAGGCTTCTCCTTGGATGGAAATTTATTTACATAGAGCATTAATAAGGATGAACTTAGGGGTGTAAACGGATCAAATTCGAACCAAATCAGGCAATATCCGAATTTGAATCTAATTAAAAAATTCAATATCCGATGGATATTGAAAATCAATGTTTGAATTCGAATTCGGTTAAATATTCAATACGAATTTAACCAGTTAAKTATTTTAGGTAATTAATAAATATATAAAATAAATATTTTATTCATATAATGTATATAAATATATAAATTATTTATATAATTTAAGTATTATATATATAATTATATAAAATATAAAATATTTTATATGAGAATTAAATAATTGGTTAAATTCGAATGGGGATGTGCATCACTATTCTATCCAGCCATCCTGGCATCCCCTATATGAAGTGTTCCAATTCCATGGTCTTGAAGGGGGAACCTGGCCATTRACTCTTGGTTCACTTTGCACCATTTATCACAAGCTATAGTTTCTACTAAATTTAATTTTTGTACTGCTAATGCGTGCTTGTGTATGTTTGCAGGTTTTGGGCGACACTTCCTCTTCGTATTCATATTTTGCTTGAGCTGTATTAGTTCTGTAAGAAAAGGGGTAATAATTGATAAAGAACAGAGAAAATAAAAGAAACGAGGCATATAACTGATTGTAACTATGTAATTCACTTTTATTTACACCCGTCATTTGCATGTTCCTCTAGTGGTTTTATTATTCTGGATAACACGATCCTGCCACTGTAAGCTGATTTTAAACGATAGGATTCATCAGATCATCGGATAAATCCCACAAGACACAATCTGAATTGAACATGCTAGATTCTTTTCTTGCTGCTTTTCCGCCCTCGGCCTCTTCTCCATCCTCTTCCTCAGCCTTCTCATGCAACCTTCCTTGTTGGTCCCCTCCAGTACATGTGCTTCCTGTGCACATACTCTGGCTCCAAGCCGATCCATCCCCCTCATTGCCATAAGATGGTGGACCATATTGAAACCCAGAAATTTTTACGGGAAATGTGTTCCGGTCTCTCGCAAAGCCATCAGATGTTTCTCCAGTACTAGTGATGGTCCAAGGTTTGTTCGTGGGAAGTGCATCTGGTTCTTGCATGGCTCTTGAGACACCTAGTTTAATCTTCTGTATYGTGTCATCTTTGTCTTCGGTTCTCCCAGTGACAAAAGTGGCTGCAGTATTCACTCCAGCAGGTTGTGGTACATCATATCCAGGTGTTGAGCTGGAACGTTGGAGCTGAAAATCGATACGTTTCTTAGTCAATAGGTGGAGCATCTCATCTTTAAAGCATCCAAGTGCTGCCTCGGCCAGGTGAGCAACCTGAGGTGGGGGTAGAGTGGTGGCAATCTCAGCCATGAGGTGGGAAAAGGGCTTGTGAGTGACGGGATCAATTCCCATTCCCGAGAGTTTCTTCTTGAGCTTGGTGTTCCAGTGGTTCTTGACGTCATTGTCTGTGCGGCCAGGAAGTTGAGCAGCGATTAGTGACCACCTATTGGACCAATTTAGAGAAAAGATAAATTTCAAAAGTAAGTCAGAATAACAGGCCTGTCCTTGAAGTTTGAAAAAACATGAAAACAAAAAATTAGATTTCTACTTCTATATTCTAAATTTTTAGTACGGGTTGCTCTCAATCTCTTATCTTTACATTTCGTTATCCAGCTAAACGAAACCAAAGAAAGAAAACCATTCATTCAATCCTTTTTTTTTTAGTTGGGGGACATGGACGTATTGTTTTTGGTCTTGATTCTTGAAGAGACGTCTTAACACGAAGCAAGACAGCAAAATGGTATACCGGTTCCCGACGACTGAATGGAGCTTGACGATGGTTTGCTCTTCCGACTCTGAGAACTCGCCATGTTTTAAATCTGGGCGGAGGTAGTTGGTCCACCGAAGACGACAGCTCTTCCCGCATCTCTGCAGACCTAATAGATGATACAGAAGGGGAGCCATCCATATTAGATGCTAATATTGGCCTTTTTTTTTTCTATTTTTGCCTTTTAGGGTGGGGGACAGGGGGATGCATTACAATTTACAGATTACAAAATGCACAACCGTTACATAACACAAGATATATAACAGTTACCAGCGTTTTTGGGGATGAGGCGCCAGTTTCGGGTGCCGTGTCGGGCGATGTAGGAAGAAAGCTTGTTGTCTTCTTCGGGGGTCCACTGTCCTCTCTTAACGTTGTCCTTCTCACAACACGGAATCCGACCCATCTCAACTATTTCAGGATCTTATAGAAATATTACTACTTGGCTGAATGAATTGAGGCTGAGATAGATGTGGAGTAAGATATAAGATATTACGCATCAGTAGAAGGTAATTAATTGGAGAAGAATAAAGGAAATGCGGATAGAAAGGAATACATACTTGTGTAATGCTTCGATTTTTTTTCCTGAACTTATTTTTCTCCTCTTTGTGGGTCTATTTTTGGTTTTCGAGTGAGACAAGCGATGGAAGTGGTATTAATAAAGAGGTTCACGTGAACGCACTGCATGGGTTAAGCCATCTAAGGTGCATGATTTCATTAAAGAATTCAACGCTGCTGAGCGCGTGAGGGACGGGCCGGTAGCTCACCCGCAAGACGCCTGGTCAACCCTCTCTCCCTCTCGTTGACTACCTGGGGCTACGCAAAGTTTGGTAAGCTTTGTACCTTTTTGGTTGATAGTTAGATTTGTACTTCCATCGCAGAATATCAGCTTAGATGTTCCCAAATTTGAGAAAATTAAGATTATTGCACGTGTGGACGGTTTTCACAGTTTTTTTTTTTGAAAAACTTTTGCTCCTCTTAAGAAAAGGAATGATCCTGCAGTAGGTAACACTGCCACGTTTTTCATTTTTGGGAATTGGAATGAGAATGAGTTATTTTATTCGGTTCGTGAGAAAAGGAGTATGGAATTGGAATGAGAATGAGTTATTTTAATTCTAACAGTTTAGTTGGGTGGAATCATAATCTATTCTTATTCCTCGTGAAATGATCATTCCCTCAACCCCTCTTCCCACTAAAACTGATCAGAGGCATAGCGGTTGGGATAAGACTTTTCGATCCAACTTCATTTTGTCAAAGGTATCTACAAAGAGGATGCCAGCCAAACTACCATTGTTTACCTCATAGTTGGCTATAATCATTTTCACGACCAAGGCATCATTGTGAGAGAAGCAGATTCCTCATAGGTCATCTTTTGTAAATGAGATCATATCCTTGGCCCTTAGCCTCTTTGGAGGGTTCTCATCATCGTTTTGCATCTCCTATACAAACGCTTTTCGGGCTGATGAATTGCATCTAGCCACTACTAATCTACCGGTGATTATTGCGATCACCCTAGTGAGTTCTTCTTCCTAAGGCTCCTTCTAGTTCCTCGGCGGCTTGGCAGGTCAGTCATCATTCTTGATGAACTACTTCAGGTACCTATGTTAGATCAACTCGTTGATCTCATTCTTGAGATCTCAACAATACTCTGTGTCATGGTCTTCAGCCCGATGGAAGTGGCAATACCAATCTTGGTTCCTGTTCACTGGGTTCCCTTTCATGCACGGTACTTGAGGTAGTTCGTCTTCTTGATCTGCATCAGAATCTCCCTCCTCTTGGTCATTAGTGGTGAATAATTACAGTACTTCATTGGGGGTTTTCAGGAGTGTCTGCCAAGTGACCTGGACCGTTTGGATGACTTTCTATATTGTCGGCCTCGCTTGCTCCTGCTCCCACCGCGGTCCTTGTCACGATCCTTCCACTTCTTATCACCCTAGTCTCCTCGCACATGGACCAACTCTTCAGCATCCATGTGCTTTTCTGCACAAAGTAGGAAACCCTCCATGTTGGCTGGAGGATTCTTAGCCAAAGAGAATTGTAGGAAGCGATCTCAAACATTGTGTATGACTGCTACTGCTTGGATGATCCGATCGAGATTGAGAACCTATAATGACTCCGGATTGAACCTTTGAACATACTTATGGAGGCTATCATCGGAGCACTAGTAGATGGACATTAAACTCATGGAAGTCTTTGGGTGGTGGCAGTTGGTTTCAAAATGCATCGTGAAGAGCTCACTGAATTGCTTCCAGCTTCAAATGGAGATCAATGTAAGTCATGAATACCACATCTGAGTTGTTTGACGGAATGTGGTCGGGAAGGCTAGGCACATGCTTTCCTTCGAAGCTTCGCGCAATAGCATGAAGGCCTGGAAGCTCTCCACGTGGTCGATCGGGTTGGTGGTCCTGCCATAGGACTCTAGGTTCGGCACCTTAAAATCTTCTGGGTGCGGTTCTAYGAGGATCTCAATCGATAAAGTCGAGGCTTGGGTAAGTTGAGAAATGTTGAAGGTGTTGGTGTTGGAAAAGTTAGAATCCATCTTATGAGTGGCCTTACCATGCTAGATGGCTGGGTGAAATTACAAAAAATTTTTAACCCTTCTRGTAACCGATTTCCTAGTGTTTTGAAAAACTATATTTTTCCATATTAATCTTACACTGAACCGGACTAGATTCGAAACCAGATCAAAAGGGGAAATTATACCTAATACGGATATCACAAGCACATATCCCAAGGTGGAAGTTTACGCACAAATCAGTCCTAAAACCAGCCTCCACTAAATATGGCGTAATGAATAGTTGAAGCCGATTTAACTACATTGTTTTCTCAAAAATTACTATCCAACTTGCTTGGATCAAATGGGGTGAGTGAGCTTGATCTTCCTCAATATTTTTATTGCAAAAACTAGAAGGAAAAACTAATCAAAATCAGTTCTTGAAAGCCTAGGTTGAATTAGGGTTTCTTGGAAGACAAAGAGAGAAGAAGGGAGAGCAAGAGTGTGAAGTGTCCTAGCCTAGTTCGCCTTCTTTTCTTTTATCTCCATGGAGCACTATCCTAATTTAATTAGGAGATTATCCAAACCTAATTTGGATCTATTCTCTATTAACAGATAAATCTTATCCTCTTAAGAGGATAGGTGCTTCGTACCCAATACCAAACCTAGATTCGGCCCAAAGCACATGGCAACTTAAGTTGTCATGTGGCAACTTAATTAATCTTATTAATTTTGGGACTTATGCCCATTTACTTTAATGGCTCTTGACCCAAGGTGTTGCATGGCCACTTTAGGCCTGATAATGTATGGAGTGGGACCCCACAATGATCTCACACGAGTCCATATGGGTTCGGCCCTACCCTTAAAAGGGGTTAAGCCGAATTCACTACTTAAGGCAGTGAACCCCTGACCCAATCAGCATTGGTTCAATTTGGGCCCAACATTTATACCTAAATGATCATTGGATTCAGTCACCCTATGAAAATCCAAGGGTAATGAATTCATGTATGGTAAAGCCCATAAGGTAATCAACCATATAATGGTCTCTTACACTCAACCTCTTGGCTCATAATGATCAATAACACTACCCAACAAGGAAGTGTTAGACAGTGTATGCCCTTAGCTCCAATCAAAATGATGTACATTATGACATTTATTGTAAATGACTAAAGTACATATTTGATTCATGTTATTATGGTGTGTTTCTGTGTAATACCCTTAAACTAGACACATATGAGACTTGTGTTAGTTTAGAATCTTCACAGCCGTTGGATAGATCTGGGGAGATTTATCCTGCCAAGGCTGACACTGATGTGCCGCCAAGTTGGTTGGGGTGGCTTGTCTCAGCTGCTAGAGTGAGAACTGAGGTAGATGCAGTGTGGGTTTTCTTGAAACCCTGAAATGGACCAGAATTCCAGTATTGCCTTGGACCTTGGAGATAGATGGGCAAAATTGGAATGTTACACTTGGCCCCTAGACTCGATTATGATACTACACTATGTGTCGGATTGTGATGTCTTTGATATGCCAATTAGTGAGATCCTTACAGGGGATCAAAACCTGGGTATGTTGGGACAGTCTGAGAATTCATCTGAGTGGGTGATCATAGTAACAGGATCAGCCCCTTTGTCGGACAAAGTGAATGATCGGGGATGCACTCTCTCTGATGGAAACCAAAGCTGCTAGCAGCCGATTTCAATCGTTGAAATTTGTTTTGCAAAATATATTTATATAGAGATATACATATATATATATACATATATATTATGGTTTGAAAATGTTTGCAAAAGGTTTTAATTCTTGGGATCCATGTGAGTAGAGATTGCAGCACTGTTCCTTGCAACCGAGAGAGAGGTCCTCTCTTGTCGGGCAGTGTTTGATTATTATGGGCTGCGAGGTTAAGTGTAAGACCATTGAGGGTAATACCTGATGAGCTAATCTTGCATCTACCCACAGTCCTTGAGTTTTTATAAGGTGGCTTGACCCAGGGACCACTTAGTGTAAGTGTTGGGCCCATTAAGAGCCCATGGTGATGGGCTCAGGGGTTCACTGTTTCCTACAGTGAATTCGGCTAGGCCTTGTAACAGAGGCTGGGCTGAACCCATGTGGCTGATGTGTAGATCAATGTTTGGGTCCCACGCCATACAAGATACCCAACTGGGCAGTAGTTTGGATGCTGAATGAGCACATGGACTTAATGGGCCTAGAGCCCAAATCGAATTGGTTTAATTTGATTAATTAAAGAGGGGCGGTTCTGGGATTTGGATCAGCAGATAGGATAGAGAGTTATCCCTATCCACTCAGAGAGTCCAGATCCAAATAATGATTTGGATTAGGAAACTCCTAATTAGATAAGGGCTTATCCTTATCTCTTAAAGAGAGTCCAGATCCAAATACAGATTTGGATTAGGAAACTCCTAATGAGATTAGGAGCTACTCTCTTTAAGGTTATAAATAGAGGAAGAGGGTGAACCCTACTTTACACAACAAGATCTCAGATCCAAGAGAGAAGACAGCCCCAGTAAGACTGACGTCATCTTCTGCTCTTGCCTCCCTCTATTGCTGCCGCCATTGCCAGTTCGTTCTCCACCAGTAGGAATGATCAAGAAGTGTTCTTGATATCAGTTTTTGAGAACAACTGATATTAAGTCGTGCTCATTCACCCTCCATCAGATTCTTGTTGAAGAATCAGGTTCTTGCTGAAGGACCACCCTGCTGATTCTGCTCCACCCAGCCCGACTGTTTTATGGGCCGGGCTCGGGATTTGTCACAAAAGCCCAGCCCGAGCCTGGCTAGACCCGACTTATACATATATATATGTAGCTTTTAAACCCTAAATTCCTAAACCGAACCCTTCTCAAATTTCATTCTTTCTCACTCTCAACTCTAATCGACGCCACCAATGACCGACAGTGAAGATGGGTT